TATAATTGGTAGAAAAGTTTGCTACTTACCACATCTTCACTATTTATCAACTCTGTGATCTTGGACAACTACGCTGAGCCTGAGTTGCTTTAAGTTGAGCTAATCATTTCTATTTGGCTTGTTGTATAACATTAAAGTGTTGGTCAAAGTGCCTTGTTAGGTGCTAAGCACCATCTTCATGCAGGTAGAGCATTTTGTGTGTTGCGTGAGTGTGAACACGCATCTCTCATTCTATACACACAAGTGACATTCTGCCAGCAGTATCCGCATCACCTGGGAAGTCATGAAAATTCAAAACCTCTGCTTCATCCCTGACCTACTGAATCACAGGCATTTGAAGATTAAACAGAAGATTCCCACTAATATTTCAGAAGCACTGCTCTCTGTGGTCCCCTTCCAGTGTGATCTACACACCACACACACACAAACACACACACACACACACAGAGCAACCAGAGGGCTAGGCAGTGATACCAACAACAAAAAGGTAGATTTGTCATCTTGAGTTGATAAAGGAGCAGTCTAAAATATATTTCAATTAAAATTAATTAAATATTACAATCAATATTTTAAACTCTATTTTAATTGGAACTGATCATCAATGGTAACAGAAGGGCACAAAGTATAAAATGGCTCATTCTTGGAATGGTGATGCCAGTCAAGAATAAGGTGGAATTAGGGGGGAGGGTAGAGTGCATGCTTAGCATGCACAAGGTCCTGGGTTCAATCCCCAGTCCCTCCTCTAAAAACAAACAAATAAATAAACTTAATTATCCCCTCCACCAAAAATAAATTAAAAAAATAAAAGAATAAGGCAGGATTGATCACTGCACTGGAAGCTTGAATTAGATACTCCAAGAACCTCATCCAATTTTGTCGCTCTACCCTACATCCACACCTGTGTATTTACAGAAATGTACTCTAGCCACGAGTATTCTATCCCTATTTTCAATCTATATTTTAGATCTATTTTGTATGAGCCCAAAGCTACCAGTGACAGATTTCTTTTTTTAATTTCAAGCTTTAAAAGCACTGCCTTCTAAAACAGTAATACTTAATTGATCAAGTCCACTGTTAGTTATCAGAAATAGCATGATTTGCACTCAGATTGCTGCCTCAGTGATGATTTCCTTATTTGCAGAAACTACTAAGAAAATTGTAGAACGTTCAAGGTATTTCAGTAGTGCAGCTGAAACTCACCATAATCACCAAGCAGGCATTCAACCAAGGGGTCAGAGAGCAGATGCTGGACTTGTCAATATGGTCCCTTGGTAACACTGAGCTTCCGGCTCTCAGCAAAGGATCAGGGCAGATGCTCTCGAAGCCATACTTTTTCGTGGGTATGTTTTCTGTTTTTGCTTTGTTTTTGTTTTTGATGTACAGAAAGCTGTACATATTTAACGCAGACAGCTTGATGAGTTTGAAGATAAACACACACCAGGAAACCATCACCAGTCTATACCCCACGCATATCCATCCCCTCCAGAATTTCCTGCCAACTTCCATTATTGTGACTGATAAGAACACTTAACCAAAGTGCTACTCTCTGAGAAAAACTGTAAGCGAACAATTCAGCACTGTTAACAATAAGCACTGTGAGGTACAGCGGATTCCTAGGACTTCCTCATCTTGCGTTACTGGAAACTTCATACCCTTCTACTCATACTCGTAAGTTTCCGCTTCCCCCAGCCCCTGGCAACCACCGCGTGTTTGGCCACAGTGTTAGAACATACATCTAAGACATCACTTTAGCGTCTTTGACATTTGTGAACTAAATAAAATATGCCTCATTGATGGCATGCTATTACCATCTATAAAAAGCATCTTATTTAGTTGGTTTAGTTTTTACAACACACATTTTAGTACTAATGGTGTTAGACCCACGATGTATGTATTTATACTTCAGCTTTTCATTTTACTAACGTACTGGTTTTTCAAACTTGTACTTGTTTATGGATATTTCCCTTCTTCCCAGAGCAACGCCCCTGAGCTCCGTTAGAAGGAGGTTTTCATTCTCTAATGATCTAAAGGGTTCATAATATATGGGATCTCACTCGTGATCATTAGGTGAAAAGATTCAAAACTCGTGTCTAATTTGGAAATCGTCATCCCTTCAGATGAGACAATATTGACCAAATTAGAAATAACACCAACCCTGGAAGACTCAAGAAGATCATCCTTGAAGTTTCATTCTCACTAGGATGTTGTCATGGGATTGGCACTCTTTTATTCAAACATGGAAATAGGACAGTGGCGTTTTAACTATGCCATGGGATACATGAACAATGAAAAAGACAGCTCCAAAAATATATTTGAAGCATTATTCTATGAAAATGTTCATTTCATCAGGTTTTTTTCTTCCAGTCACTCTTCCAACCTCTTCCAGGTTATGTTTTAATTAAAACTTTAATTGAAGGTTTACAGCTTTTGCAGCTTGTGGTATGTTTAATTTCTATTTCAAGAATGTTGACATTTATTTTTAAACCATGACCCTGTGTCTGATCGACCACATTTTTTTTACAATGCATTTACACTTCACATAAATGATACAAAGTAGAGTTTTGGTCTGCATCAACTCTTAGGCGCTGCTACACAAGGCTTTTGGGAGCAAAAAGGAGAAATGATCACATCTTCGTAGCTCACCTGGGGAGACTACTATTTAAAACTGTTCTTACTGTAAGGCTGAAATTAATCTTGATTTCCCATCAAGTGTACAGGGTTTTTACAATGGAGTTCATAATAGTGTTTAATTTCTCTAGGGCACGAGTTAAGATAAACAAGTCACTGACAGTGTTTATCTATAAATACAGCAGATGGTGTGGGACCGAGGCTGGTTATTAACTCTGCCGACTTTAATTTCGTGGTTATATAACACAATAAACCTCACTGTTTATAAAAGGCGGGGGAAGACTGTCTGTCGGGCTTCAGTAGCCAAGAAACTCTCTGTAACATTAATCTCTCTAACTGATATTCGGTATCCTCTTAGGGTGCAATATTTAGGATTGTGGAGTGATTGCTAGTCACATTAAAAATTTCACTGGGATCATTCGCTAGCATTTCTGTCATTGATCTATTATAACTTCGTTAATGAGTTCCATGTGAGGGAAATTTAGTGAATGAGACGATTCTTTAAGTTTTGTGAGGTGAACGTTTAACTGTTACTTTGGGCAGTTATATATCTAAATGATAGCCTAATTTATCAAAACAAGACCCTTTTCCTTACACAAAGATGAATCGTGGTACCTAACCAGGTGAAATGTACTTAGGGACAGAATTTCATAAAGGAAGACTGGAGCATTATTGGAATAATCAGCCAATGGACAGTATATGCATTTACATTTAGGGGAGGAATCTGCATAAATGTCACAAATGCCATAGAGCTATGAAGAAGAAAACTAATTTCTCTTTAATAGTCCAAATTTATTTAAGGACAAAATTTCATTATTGTCACATATTTCACTAACAATCTATACCCTTCATTTGATTGAAATTAATTCTCCCCAAAAGGACCAGTTATAAAAATGGCCTTATTTGAAATAGCTTGATTTTTCCATTCTGACTTTAGAGTGAATAACAAAATTATGTTATAACCACAAAAGTGAAAAAAAAAATCACAGGGCTTATCTGCATTGCTTTTACCTTCAGAAGAGGTGGATGTTTCATTTCCAAAGGAAATCAGACTTTTATAAATATATGATAATCCAATGGGAGTTGGGGATTAAACCAATCTTGAACTAAAAATGTCTTCACTGCTTTAGAGGTCAGAATCCTGGAGGACGAGTTTTCAGTGACAAAATCCTGTTACTTTTCCAAGCTCTTATATTGGACTGCTTCCCCTGGACCCACCCTGAGAATTTTATTACTGATCTGAAACAGTCTGTGCTTTCTACCAATTATTCCTAACATGGACCCCAAACTTTGGCTTCCAAGTAGCGTCAGCTGTGTGTGGGGAGAGGACTGAATTGTTGGTTAGATATGCTCTCATCTCCCTTCCTGCTCAGAACCTACTGTCACTAGCTGTCACTGGATGGAAAGCTCTGCTATTTGATACACTCACTTCAGCAAAAAACTATCCACTCAGACTTAGACTTCCAGGTCTCAAAAAATGCACAAAACATCTACAGTAGAGGCTTTACCTCATTTCCCTCTTTTTTTAAGCCTCAAAACCCACCTGAATCATTATCATCAAAGAAATTGATTCTATTGGCATGTTTGACATTCATACTTGTGTTGAATTGAGTCAAAACTAAGAGTGATCTCAATCCAGACTTATCAATAGAAGTCACCTAAAATAGATCCATCTATAAATTCTAAGGACCACATCTCCTTGTCTTAGGAATTGGGAAGGGAGGGTGGAAATGTGTTTAGCAAAACATGGCCAAGAAGACTAGGGCCACAGAGAGGCCAAGAGCGTCCCTTAAGAAAAGCAAAAATAGGTAAAATCAATAGAAAGTGAAGGGGTTAAAAAAAGTGACACAGAATAGGGAAACTAAGCAAAACTAAATACGGAAGTGTCTGCGTAGAGAGGTGAACAGGGAGACTGGTTTAGCGACTCTCCTTTGTGTACTTTGAGAATTCATAAATCCAGTGGGTCTTAGGGCGATGGGGTTTCATTGAAAGTACATTCAAACAATTACTCTTGTAAAGAAGGAGTCTTTTTCAATATCCCAATGGACAGCCTTAAATTACTGTTTTTCTCCCCCTGGTTTATATGTAAGGCATATTGAATTATCTTATAAAATGTAATATTTTTTCTAATTATGGTTTGAAAAAAACAATCTCTTATTAGGAAATTGTTGGATTAAAGAGTGAAAAAAAGCTGTTAAAATTTAAGAAATGTGCTCCCACTTTTGCCACAATCTATCATATTTTATTAAAATCATGTCGTGGAAATAAGTTCCTGCCTTACAATGTAACATAAAGCAAGCTACAACCCACGAGGTAAAAGAAATGCACGACCTTAAATACTTTCATCTCGTTTTTTTGTGATCTCCTTTCAGATTATCCAACTCTGTCTGATGTCCAAGGAATTGCGTTGCGTAAAAGTAAACGTGCGAAGGAAATAACTCGCAGTGGCTTTCACTCCCCCTTCAATGGTCAGTCAAAAATCAATCCTCTGAAATATTTTCAGTATTTATTCTCTCTAAAAATCCAGTCATTCTTAAAACTCTTTTGTTTCTAGGAGAAGTCATCTACGCTGTCATGTGCATGACCATCACCTGCGGAATCCTTCTCTTGGTTATGTTCAAGATGAGGTAACTGGGTGCAGCTCAGAAGGGAGGGGCTTGAAGGGGACCAGTCCAGTTACAGCACAGGTCACCGTGGCAGGGCTAATGCAGGGCTGAGGAGGAAACCGTCTCCGTCAAGACGTACAAAACCAACTCTTTGGTGTGGGCGAGGTCCAAGGGAACGTCGCTCTCAGTCTTCACGTGCAAGGGCACTGTGGTCACGGGGGGTCCTTCACGTTGCACTTTATAAGCACACAGGCCCTGTTCTTCCAATGGACCTGCTACCAGGCTTTCCCCTGGTTTCCCTGACATCCAAATTAAACGCTGCTATCATCCTAACTCAGATCACTTGCAGGATTTGCCAGCTCACAGAACGCACCTGCTGGGCACGTCACACAGTTGACATTGACCCAAAGATTTACTCTTCACTATAATTTCTTACGTGCTAATGAGTTTTATTCATGTTTTAATACATAGTGATTCAATGAGACATGTAATGAGGTCTCACCAGTTACCCTTAGAAAGACTGCCTGCCTGACATTAATCTACTCTTTCCAAATCTTCTTTTTTCTCGGCTGCCCTCCTGGTGAATGCAGTAAATGCTCTAGCAGGCGTGGGAGACTTTGGGTTAGAGACACATCCTCCCCTAGATTTCCAAATGTCTAGGGTCTAAATTTTTTCCACTTACATAACATTACAAATAGATATACAGTGGTGCACAGTGGCTTATTTTTAATTTTAAAAGTAACCACATATTTAAATATCAGTGATGTTCACTTGCTTACTCATTATCCAAATGTGTATATTTTATCTAAGTTGAGTATCATGAATATTAATGAACAAATATATATATATAGTGTGCGTGCACATGTGTGTATACACACGTATCACATATATTGATCAGTAGAATTAGGCCCAAGGGCAACAGAGGCGGTGGACATTTATCTTATGACACTCAGAGGGGAAGACTGCAAACCCTATGACCCACGTACACATGTTGCTCCTCAGACCCCAAGGTTTGATGACCTCACAGATTAAACACAAGACTCAGTGGGGAGCCTTTTTTTTAATTTTAATATTGTTTTCATCAAGCAACAGAGCTGTCTGAAACAGGAAGTTTTAAGACCATTAAATAAAGCAAAATCTTACAAAGATTTTTCTGTTAGGATAGGCGCTCTGAATACATCTGTCACTACGTGGATTTGAAACTTCCAGTGGAAGTTTGGCACTAGACTGAACATTGGTCTAAGCCCACAATTTTCTCTTTAGTGTTTAGAAGCCCTGAACACGTTTTCCTTCAGATTAAAAAAAAAGGAGGGGGATCCCTATATAACAGGACCTCGTTAGCTTGACACTGGGTTTGCTGAACGCAACTTGGCTTAGGTCAACCAGCAGCCCCGACAGAATTCAGACAATGGCGGTACCACGGGGTGGGACACGTGATGGATGTGTGCTCTGCCTACAGACCTTCAAACTTACTTATTTTTAAGTGTAATCCCAGCTCAACACACGCCTCTAACCATTTAATTTGACGCTTACCAAAACCAGTACCAAACAAACTGCTTTTCTCCAAGGCCTTAAAAGTTGTATTTCCGTAAGAAGATATTCTTTTGGGTTCCAGGATGTAGTTTAAAGGCTAAATAATTAGAGTCAATTTTGAGGAGGAAAAAATAGCATTTGGACTTTATTAAACTTTCCTTTATTTGGTTTAAAATATTTGTGAGCAAGTTTCACTGACTGGGCCTGCTTTGATCTTCCATCACAGAGGTATTGTTTGAGAGGAACACAAAAATTTTCCTAGCTTAGCCAAAAATCTTATTTTATTTTATTTTAAATAATCAAGGTGTGGTCAAGTATATTTATTTCTGTTTTTATTTATTTTTAATTTTGGGGGGAGGGAGGTAATTTAAAATCTTATTTTAAAGGTTCTCAATCTTACTTCTTAGCCACACACATAGTGTACAAAGTTCACATCTGCCACACAGGTCCATGGTTTTTTACAGATTATGGTGCCACAGATAAATGAGGTCTATGGTTATTCAAAATTCCCTGCATATCAGCTGTTACTCACCTCCTTGCCTGCACAGAAAGGCATGTTCTTTTACTGGATGACAATGGGAGCGTTAAGAGACAAAAATCTTAAATATATTTGAATATGTATTTTAAAGCAAACCATTCATACTGCTAAGGATATTATATTTAGTTATATGTTATTTTCCATACAATTTAAAATTGATCTTTACATGTAATCTGAAAGATCCAGGTCTAAAGTTAAGTAAACGAAAAAATGACAAAAGTAAAAGCCGTCATGGAAGGAAGCAACAAAACAGAACAACAGTGTCATGAACAACAAAATCTCTGTCCTAACACCCTGAAATCGGGGAGAAAAAGACTTTTTTTCTTTTTGAAAATGGTTACTTGAAGATCATAGTTACATGTACATGATACTCACCAGAATATTCTACGTTTGGAACTTTACATTTAAAAGCTTGATTATTTTCCCCTCCAGGCACAGAAACCAACCAAAAATATAAGCGCACACACATTTGTAAAATCCTTAGAATGGCATATTGTTAACTTTTACTTTTACTTTTATATAGAACCTTCAGAATATCAAGTCAAACGAGAGATCCTTCGCCAATCCAAATACCTGGAGGACTCATGATTCATTCACTAAGAGTCACCGATCATTAACAATCACTGTCTTTAAAGCAAGTCTGGGTAGCCAGTCAACGGAATATCCTACCCATCATCAATAAAGAAAATGTTAAGATGGATTTACTGATCCTGGAGTCTGAAGTATAATAATGTAAGGTATAATAGTATGGCATGACATTAGATTTATTGTTTTCTTAAAATATTCAAGCCTAATTATACAGTGGTATATTTTATGGCACTAGTACAGAATTACAGAATTACCCTTGAAGGCAAAAAGTATTATTCTAAGTTATACTCTGTGTGATTTGTTTCATAATAAATGTGAATCCACATAATACTAGTTAGGTGCATCATAATATGACGGTATTATAATTAGCAGAGGTTTTCCTGGTCAGTTTCATAAGTTCCTATTACCTTATCAAAAGGAAAATGCTAATAAAAATATTCAGTGCATTTGTTATTTGTATATCCATTTCCAAATCACTTACTAAATCATTCGCATTGACTTTAAGTTTCTAAATATATTTGATTAGATGATTAGTCTTAAAAATCAGAAGTGATATCTTCAGATTTCTGTACTTTGAAGATTGTGGAACTTTACTTCTTTGGTGTCTTTATTTTATATTCATAAAGATTTAAAGTAACTATACTGACTGAAAAATCAATGTGCATTTCAATGATATGTTTTATTTGTAAATTTAATTTTTCTATGCTAATTATTATGAACTTCTGCAATAATAAAGTAACAACATAATCGTTGCTTTCTATATTATTACTTTTGGCCTGATTTGACATTAGAACATTATTGTCATTAAAAAATTATGAAAAGATGCTATTAAGTTTCTGATACATATATGTTTTTCAACTGTCTGCAATCACATTAGTTCCCATTGCTAAGAGTAAATATGAGGTCGTTTTCTCTCCAGTGGTACAGAGGTACAAATATTCAAGAACCAGGGCATACCATTAATTAGTGATGTATTTACAATTAAATGTCAAACACTTTCTACCTGTTTGGTCTCATATCTCTTGCTGCTCACCCTGCTTCAGATTAAATTGTCTACGTTAAATTAAATTTGAAGTTGACATTTGGCTATGTTTACTCAGAGGAATTGAAAAGCCATCCTTTATCATTTAAAATAGGGAAGACTCATTAGGTGAGCCACAAATCTCCCTCAAGGAGCTCCACATATGCCATTGGCTGTTAACGCTCTAAGTTATGTGAGAAGAATACAGATATTTCCATCTACAAATCCCTGCCATTGAACTCAGGCTCGCTAATGCCTGGAAAAACATGAACTGTTCTCTAGAAAACCAAGGAAAGAAGGCAAACTGCTTTTAGAAATATGTTAGTGTTGAGCAAAGAAGTGGAGGACAGAGCATGAAATGGAAAGGCTAAATGAACGTTTCCCAAGAGAGAACACCAGGGGTTCCTGATGCCAAATAAGGTACCATCAGGACAGAAGGTTAATGCTTAAAGGTAAAGGTGAGATACAATATATGAAGAAAAACACTGGGAAACAAAATTTCCACAAAGAGGAAATTCAGAAGGAGTACATGTCTGTTAGAAGCAATCTTCAGAGACACTCATTCTTTTTGGATCACTGACTCAAAATCAGTCTCTGTAAGTAATAAGCGATTGGACTAAAACAGTGGAATTTAAAGATACATAATAGGAAAGCATGCTTTGTTAATGTTCCTAGTTCCTCCATAATAGAAGTCTTCCTCTATTTGAAGATAAGTTTTGAGGGATTTGACAGAGCACAGTGGTTGGCTGGAATGTAAAGATTTATCTAGCATTTCCATGTTTGTTTTAAACCTTGATGGAATGACGACCAGGAGTGAGCAGAACTGGGCGTCCTCAGCATTACTGGTGGCCATGTTGAAACGCACAAGGATTATTTATTGTAAGAATTATAGGGGATAGTCTACCCGTTGTGTTAGTTCTTATTTCAGCCATATGATTAGGTAATAAAGAAAAGGAAATATCATTCTATAGACTCATCTGGTTGTCTTGCAAATGCTGTAAGTTTCTTTCATCACAGGTATTAATCCTCTGCCATCTGTTCTTTCTCCTCCCTGCTATCTTTATTCCTCTAAATTTTTTTTTTCAAGTCTTATAAAGGATGGGAGGGAAACAAGCTCAGGAAAGGAGAAATCAGTTAGCAACAGCAAACTGTGAAATGGTTAACAAAGAGGCACTGCCTCTGTTCTTATGAACACTTAGGTCAACTCGTTGAGTCATTTCATATCCCATTCTCTTCCACAAATGCATTTCAAGTGAAATAACTTATGAAGTAAAATAAGTACATTCCTCAGCCTATAAACTATCAGCCTGAAGACAGTAAGACATCAAAGGTGAAATCACCTCACACCTGTTAGAATCAAAAAGATGAGAAATAATCATTGACGAGGGTGTAGAGAAAAAGGAACCCTCTCACACTGTTGGTGGGAATGTAAATTACTACAATCATTATGAAAAATAGTAAGGAGTTTCCTAAAAAATTAAAAATAGATCTATCATATGATCCATCAATCCCACTTCTGGGTATATACCCAAAGGAAATGAAATCAGAATCTTGAAGATCTATCTGCACTCCCATGCTCATTACAGAATGATAGCCAAGAGATGGAAATAGCCTAAGTGTCCATGTGTGGATGGATGAATAAAGTGCACACACACACACACACACACACACACACACACACACACACACACACAGGAATATTATTCAGCCATAAAAAAGGAAAAGCCTGTCATTTACAACAACATGGATGGAACTTGAGGGCATTATGCTAAATGAAATAAGTTAGGCAGAGAAAAGACAACCTTTGTATGACATCACTGATATGTGGAAACTAAAAAAGTTGATCTTGTAGAAGCAGAGTAGAATGGTGGTTGCGAGGGGCTGGAGACTGGAGGAAATGGAGAGATATTGGTCAAAGGGTACAAACTTCCAGTTACAAGATGAATGAGTTCCAGGCAGTTCCAGGCAGTAATGTACAGCATGGTGACTCTAGTTAACAATACTGTATTTTATACTTGAAAGTTGCCAGGAGAGTAGATCTTAAATGTTCTCACCACAAACAAGAAACAGTAATCATGTGAGGTGATGCAAGTGTTAACTAACTCTAGTGTGGCAATTATTTCTCAATATATGTGTATCAAATCACCACACTGTACTTCTAAATTTACCCAATGTTGTTATGTCAATTATATCTCAATAAAGCTCGAGAAAAAAGAATTCATCTTGATTAGCAATCATATCCAAAAACAGATTCTACATGTTTGAGTCTTTGAATCATTCAGGAGGAAAGAAGAGAAAGAGAATTATTAGGAAATAATTTATATTTTTACATAAATATTCAGAAAATTGGTAAGAATAACCAGATTTGGGTTATGGGTCTACCAGCGATATGGACTGAGCTTTAAGGTACGGGGGCATCATCAGTGTGGGGTGTTTGATATAATGCATGTCTGGATGTGCAGCACTTGGGGAAGTTGGCTTTTGCCACCTGCATTTCAACTTATTCAGCTTCCCTGAGTGATTGGGAGGCAAAAGTAAACAAAGAATAAAACATTGAAAAATGAATATTTAGGGGTTGAAGGAGACAAACAGTCCCTTTTATCTGTAAGGATACCATTTTATAAGGCATCATTCTTACCCTCTGTAGCTCTGAGTATGTGGCTTGGGGACATTCTATATGTTATTACGACTCTAAATTTACGATAGTGGCAGTTCTAATATTTCGCCTGGTGACTGATCTAACAAAGGAACATGTGAAAACAGTTCTGAGTAATCAAAGCAACATAAAAGACAGTCAAGGATCCAAACATTACACCGTTGCCTTACAACATCTTAGAGCAGGTATGTAAAGGCAATGGATATTTATGTGTATTTATTCACGGTCTGGTCTCAGAAGCCTCTGTCCCCACTGATGATGAGAAAGGTAACCAATATGCTTATTCAGATTAACTCAGTTCTCTAGGAAAGCCAATCAGCTATCTTAACTTTGAATTCCTAATTAGGGGACATCTCAGCTCTTTTTCTCTTCTTCTGCAAGGGGGTGTATTTGTGAATGGAGAGCTTACCTAGGTGGACATGCCGCCTCCCGTATCTTTGCTGGTTTCTGCTGTGGAGTGACTGTGCCGTCTGGTCTCTGGTCACATTGTAGCAGAGTCTGTTGAGGACTCATGCTTTGGGCACCACAGCTCCTTGTCCAGGCTTCCAGCTGGGACGTATCCCTACATAGTGGCTTTGGTCTTCTAAGGCTGGGTCTCTTCTGGCTCCCCAGAGAGGATCTCAGCACCCCTGCATTCCTCTGCAGGGCAAAATAATCAGCTGCTTTCTGTGCCCTTTGCTATATCATGCAGTATTTTCTTGACGCTATAACTTCAAGTCCCTCCTTCGCCATGGCTTCCTTCCTGCTAGCATCCCAGTGCCGTGCAGATTTGGTGATATAATTCATGAACAGCTTTGCTGAGAGGAAAGAAGGAAGGCCTGTACTGGGATTTTCCCCAAACTTATATGAGTGTAAGTGTTGTTCCTTACTTCTGCCCTGGTCCCAAACGCTCATGAGACCTGCCATGGATGGGACGGGGTGGTGAGCGGGAGAGGGGGCGGCAGTGGTTAGGAAGGAGTCGGGATGGGCTGCCACAGCTGAACCTCTTGCCTCTGCCGTTCTCCTCCCCCATCTCTCCAAGGCTGCTATCTAAATGGGACTCTTCTTGCTCCACATCCTCCATATTTTTTCACTCAGACTTTCAGTGCAGCTTTATGACTCAAGTCTACCAGAGTTGGATCACGATATGCACAAGGAAGTTTTTAGAACTTAGAAAACGCTGCTCTCTTAACAAAGCGTGGCTTTCAATGCCCTGATTTCTTTACGTGCGTAAAAAGGCTAGAGTTTAAGCTCCCACTGAACAATGACTTCTTTGTCCTAAGACTGTGCCCACACTTTTTCAGGAGTAATGAATACGTGTTGCTTCGCTGGTTTTGGACCTGCAGAGAATCATGATTCAAGGCAAATGAAGAAAAAAATATGATGGCTTAAGAATTTCCATTATGTTCTTATTACACGCATACAATGGTTCAACTGAAAACTGGAGTTATTAAAGCAGAAATAAGGACAAGGGAAATGAGAAGAAAAGAAATGAGGTGATGAGAGGAAATGAGAAAAGAAAAAGGAAAAAAAGGAGAACAAGGTGCCAAAGGACATCACAATTGGCCCTGCTTCTCTTTTTCCATTTTCTATATTATCTTCCCTCTGTTGCAGGCAGAAGGCAAGAGACAGCCTACTGCAGCAGGGACTATCCCACATATTAAAGCCACCCAGGGACCTTCTGTAGGTCTATTTAGATTAAGTCTTTGGAGATTGTAGTTGCTTCACTGTAGTTTTGTAGGTCATTGAAATTCTCATGGGCCCAGGTCAATCAGAGAAGACCTCAAATTAAACAGTTTACCCCCACTGGATTTAATTCACAGGTCACACATAGTCC